AAAGTGGCCAGATTCCAGCGATAGAGTGAACATGCTCATCTGTGCACTTCCAGTGGTTGTTGTGGAGTGTAGTTGTGATTCTAAAGAAAGCAATTTCTCACTTAGTTCTGCGATGGGTATAGTTTTAGCCGAGGAACAGGTTCGCTTTTCTTTTGGGGCCTCGCATTTTATTCGTGGAAAGTACACGACGCTTAGCTTGCTGAATACGGCGAGATTTCAGAGATTCAGACTCAAGCGCCAAGGTAATATATCGATGCAACAAAAACCAACCTTGTGTGCTTTCTCGCAGTTGGAATTTGATAGGTAGGTTAGGTTCCACGGGTACGTTTGTCGATAATAGCCACAATTCAACAAACGTGTCCAGACGTGCAACAAATCCAAGATGGTGGACGCAGACGGTAGTTTGGGCTAAACAATGAGAACTCCGAAATTAGCCAGAGAATCTCCACCAAATTTGCATATATTGAAGAATACATTAAAAGGAAAATATTGGCGTACAATTCATACAGAAAAATCACGTTTAACAGAGTAATCCGGAAGAAAAACTGGAATCCAGCACGGTAGTCCAAAAATCCGCGGCGTCCGTTGGTACATCCAACCGAGGCAAGAGCAGTATGGAACTAGCGTAAGCTCTTCGAACTGATGCCTATCACTAGTCCCATTAAATTAAACGTCATCTAGATCATCAGAGACAGCGTGGGTACGCCGATACAGAATAAAAAGCGCCGTATTTCTCATTGGGCAGAGCACTTTCGGGAGCAGTTCATTTGCCCCCATGCTTCTGGACCCCTTCCCACTCAAGTGAGTTCAAACTGAGCCATGGCCGGTTAGTTCAGACGCTTCAATAGAGGCGCTTATTGTTTTCGTGCTGCTGGACCGGATTTCCTTACATCCGCACTATTTTTAGATGGTGGTGTAGTTCTCTGCAAAGCACTGATCTCGAATGGGTCTGCAAGGAAGGGACCATCCCAACTAACTGGAGTGAGTCGATTATAGTGGAACTATACAAGAATGACAGTCGCATGACTGTGCTAACCGTTGAGGTGTTAGCCTAACACCGGTTGTGCTAGAATTACTAACCTCAATTCTCGTTCGTAGCCTCACTGCGGAACGGGAATCTCGGATTAAAAAAGAACAGGCAGGACAGGCATGTATAGACCACATATTCACTCTGCGACAGGTGCCAGAGCAACGCCACACAACGCAGGCGGTTGCTTGCAGCACTACAAGACTGTGCTCGATTTAGCCAACCGATGCATTCCGTTCGAAATACTTGCTCGGAAAGGTGTTCCCATGAGATATTTTCACCTTTTATGTGCCGTGCACTCGAACACCATTGGGCGCGTCGGAGTCTACTGTGACATTTCAGGTATTTTTATACAACAAGTGGCATCCGTCTTACATGCCCAATCTCCCCATTTTCGTTCAACTTCCTCTTGGACTCCATTATGGTGTGTTCCCTTACTGATACTCGCGATGCGGGCGTTGTGGTGCTGCCTGGTGAAAGGCTAGTTGATTTGGCTTATGCGGAAGATATTGTCATGGTTTTTAACAACTTTAGCGCAACTCATTTAACTCAGAATAACCTCTCTAGAGTGGACCTATTATTTGATATGCGTTTCGCACCTTTCAGATTGCAAGGTGTTGTTACAGGACCACCAGCTGCTTCATGACCCCTTGATCCTTGATGGTGAGGAACTCTAGATAATAGAACACTTTACTTACCTTGGCATCTGTAAAAGCTCGAACTACCCTCCTGTATCTGCGACATCTGTGACAACAGAAAGGGGTTACCCTCCGTTTAAAAGCCCGTGTATACAAGGCCACAGTGAGGTCCGTCCTACTGTACGGAAGCGAGACTTGGCTCTTTCGATCTGAGAATCTGCGGCGCCTTCAGGTCTTTGATCGTCTTCGTCTGCGAAACATTGTTGGTTTCGGATGACCACAGCGTGTTCGCAACGATGTTCGTAGGCGAGTACTGGGCACTGTTAAACAGGCTAGTTTCTCAGAACAATAAATAGCACAGATTAAGAGGTCTGTCCACTGGAAATCAACATGGTCCGGGCAGTATTTGCATTTCACTAGCTTCACACCAATGCGATACAAGCGGACGCTCGCGAGAACCCTGATTACCCGTGCCAGACGAATCTGCTCCGCTGATTGCCTGGCTGACGAACTGCAGTTGATTACCAACACGCTCATTGAAATCGGCTACCACCGTAGGTTCATCGAGAAACATAGTCATGTGTGACCAAGGGACCTAGTGCACACGATACCCAAGAAGCCTGTAATCAATGAACTGCCATTTAAAGATGACATCTCCTCGTTGAGGACCACAAGGCGTCTGATCCGTGCCATGCCGACAACTTACTATGCCGCCAAGATCGTTGTCATTAAAAAGCCCCAAAAACCGCCACTTTCTTCTGTAAAGGAGGCTTAGCCTATCGGGACCAAATCGCATTGCGTTTACCAATTCATTTGTGACTGCGGCACCAGTTACATAAGGAGGACCGATAGAATTTCGAGTTCCCTAATAAAGGAGCATGTACTTATGGGGGTTCAGCGTTCGACCGCGCAGGAAACTGGCCGGAGTCAAGCTGCTTGTATGCGTAAGCCACCAGACTCTTCGATCGGCCAACACTTACTGACCACAGGTCACCGAGTCGAGGTCACTTCGGCGTTCACAATCCTGTTACAGCACACCAATTCTGGCCTCCTCCATTTCGCAGAGGCGGATGCAATTAACCGGATTAAGCCGCTGCTTTGTGTTCAGAAACAATTATCGGTCAGCATTAAACTGCCCTGGAGATAGAGATGATAACCCTGTCTCGCTTATGGTGTGTTGGTCTGTTTGTCTGTCTGCATGTATGCTTGGTCGCACCCTTTACTGAACAAATATTATTGCGAGTTATTGTTAAAGGCCTTGATGAAACAATACGAAATGCATGCATTTGCCAGTCTTCGTCTTCTTACTGCGCGTTTCAAATTACTCAAGGGAACTAACTGTTTCAAATGGCATTGAATAAGTTGCGTTGCTTTGGCCACGTACTATCTATGCCAGGCTACCGAGAACGCTTTGTTTTCCTTGCTAGATGGCGCAAGGTTCGAAGTGGACAAAAGTTAACTTGGCAGCGAGAAATTAAGTCACTAATTGCAAAATTGGGTGCTGTTATTCCGTCTGACCCTCCATGCTGGAGTTCACCTGTCCCGCCTTGGGTTTGGCTCGGGACGTTACAAAACATGGCACTCATTCGCTACCGGTGACATGTTTATTGCCCTCTCCTAGTCGGACTGCCAGTTTAAAGTGTGTTATCTGCGGAGTTATGACTGTTTATGACGTGGGACAGTGAAAGCCACAAGGAAGCTGTCTCACCGATTCCACCTTATGTTTTGCACGATGGTCAGCTGTTTGTAATGGCATGTTGTTGACAAGGTGTAGGCGCTTTGACCCTGAAGATTTACTCAGGGCATTTAGGTTTTATGGTAAGTCCCCGTTCACTCCATCTCACATTATTCTTCGTTCCGTAGGTCACCGTGGTTGTATGGCGGCGAAGCATCAGCCATTTAGGCTGATGTGTTGCTATTGTTGATGAGGATGACCTTTTTCCGGTATTCATCGGCCGTACATACTTGAGCCGACACGCAGACAGTCCACTTTTGAAGTAAATGTTATGCATCTTCTATCGGCACCGCCCAGAAAAATCCAGTTATGTATCTCTCTTCAGTTTTCTTTTCCTTTACTCTGGTGATCATACACACTGAAATCACGATATGAAGGGTTCAAATATGGGTTTGTTTGACTTTGTGTCCGATGCCGATTAAAGAAGTGGAATGATATAACCGCGCCATACATTTACTAATTCTTCGCTCGTTGTCTATTTCTCTTGACCTTTTTTCATGATCCCTTCACTTGAGTCTAGTTTCTCTTAGCAATTATTGCTTAGTAGACTGCCAGCTAGGTCAAGGATCAAGAGAAACTCAACATGATAATATCGCCACCACCCAGCGTTCTTGAAGGTTGCTAATAGTGATCAGCTGGAGGTAGGGAGTTGTCATTGGGTGAGACCTTATGCAATCCTTCTTAACCCACATATGTTTCATTCCTGATTAGAGACTATATCTCTCTTGCAGTAGGTGTTTCAATCATACAGCAGTCCTCTGAATTGGAGGCGCATGGACGTTTGCCCTAACAAATACGCTTAATAATCATGGACCGTGATGCTATGGCTTTTGTGGTAATCTGATTTGCGGGATTCTCGCAGAAATTGGAACCATTCGAACCCTACATAAGCGCAACATGAGCACATTGTGTTCTACACAAACCTGGTCAACTACATTGTAATGCACTGAATCTTCTGCTCCGTTGATCATTCAAATTTGATGGTGTTTGCATAACGTTTTGTCACTAGTTTGAAACCTTAGTCCTCCGACTGCTGAATGTCATTCATGGGTTCAGCCTGGGAGGTCTATAGATGTAACTACAGCGGTGTTATAAACACGGAATTTCCCATGAGATCTGGTCTGCCGGATACAGTTCATCCTGCTTTCGCTACGAAACGAGCACGCATTCCACCGCCTTACTGATATTATCACCAACACTTGTGACGCGAGTCCCATGTTTCTTATTATGTGTTCCTTTTCCCTTCCCTTTTTTGTCTTCCGTAAGGCAGTAGGCATCATTTGAAGTTTAGGGTATCCATAGTACTCATCCAACTGACGGTGATGGTGCTAAATTGCTCGGTACCACGTATACAAAGGTTTTTTAAACCCTAGACGGGCCACATGTGTAGACTGTTAAGGGCTCACCTGTCGCCACTAAACCAATAGTCGATCGCAATAGTAACCTAACCATAGCTTGTCCAGAGTATTTTTGTGCCACCATTGATTCTCACCTTTTGTCTGCTCCTTACAGAGATTAGTGTCTGAATTTGATCGGTTGCTTTTCGGCTTTGTCTTAACAGCAACAATTTTCCACTTTTTTCCTTTTCTTCCTGCACCAGTCAGTTCCGATCGATACTGCATCTATGCGATCGCATCGTAATCTACCTCTTCATCGCTGGCTCCTATACTCCTTGGTAAGTACAACTCAGTCATTCGATCGTTTGCAAATACGAACTCTGTTCATTGTCAATTTGCCGTTTACGTAGATCCGCGGTTGCCATTCCATATATATATATATATATATATATATATATATATATATATATATATATATATATATATATATATATATATATATATATATGTATATATATATATATAGTAACAGCCAATAAAATAGACATCGAGCCATTCAAAACCATGGAATTAGGAATAGAGAATTGTAAAACGTACGAAACCTTTGAAGGAATTTGTTAATGAATGAAAAAACGGAGCAGCAAATTTTTTTATGATTTTTCGCGCGTCGTTTTGTAATCATTTTGCAGCTTTTAAGAGTTAGTATTTTCGTAAACGTGATACCAAGTAGACTTTTGCATACTGCTTCCACTGCGACCGCTTTTGCGTGATGGCTATCAGCGTTGTGAGCCATTGGCTTTCTTCATCTTTGGGTCCCCAGTTGGGGGTCAGCGATGGCCAGGTAAGATGTCATCGATTTCATGCATAATCACCAGGTGGTCGGTTGACCTCCACACGCCATTTCCAAAATAACCCTGCGTGGGCAAAAAGGGCGCAGCGTGGTAAACGCTCGTTAGGCCTACGCAGGACGGGGCCAAACCATCTCAATTGACGCAGCCGGACGACATCACTAAGCGGAACATCCGTCTTACCCAATACACGGTGTCTAACCTCATCATTCCACACTCGATGGTTCTAATGCACGCGGGCAATCTTCCGCAAACAGCTACCGATGAAGGCCGAAATACTACGCATGTCTTCCACACGGATCGTGCAAGGTTCGCATCTATACAGCAATGTCGCGCGTACACAGGTTTTGTAAACCCTGCCTTTTAACGAGAGTGAAATTTTGCGACGGCGCCACAAATGTCCTAAGCTGGCAAACGCTAACCGGGCTTTAGCGATTCGAAGGAATACCTCTGTTTCAATAGTGCCGTCGGCAAACGCAGCTCCTTAGGTAGATAAAACTATCTACGTGTTCGAGCTGTGTATCTTCGATATTGGCTTAGGGAAAGGGTGTCTGCCAATCCTGTAGAAGAACTGCACTTGGAGGGGCAGCGCACAGACCAAACTTAGATGCTTCAATCAGCAGTCGCTCAAGGAACGATTGCATCCCATGGGGGTCGTCATCGAGCAAGGCGATATCATCAGTGTACTCTAAGTCGGTCGCGCGATTTACTGGAAGAAGCTGGATGCCGAAGTTCTGCAGGCCATCTAAAGCTTCAAGAAGGACATCGTCGAGCTTGAAGTTGAATAGCAACGGTGGCGTTGGACAGTCCTGTCTCACGCCACTGGAGACAGGGAAGATTGGGGGGTGTGCCATAGGCTCTCATTCGGCCTGAAGTGTGGAGGTTTAGCGCACGAAGTATATCGACTTACTTTTTCGGAACACCAGCAGTCAGTTCCATAAAGCAGGTCGAACTAGCAATTCGTACGCAGTCTGTATATCCAGGGAAGTGACAATGGTGGGTCTGCGGTAGATATGACAATGCTCCAGGTGTTGTCGAAGAGTAAAAATTTGATCCACACATCCTCGACCCGGGCGAAAACCAGCCTGCTCCTCCCGGTAATGTGACTCACGATTAGAGGATAATCTGCGGAGCACGAAGGATGCTAGTAGCTTGGTGGCAATAGATATCAGACTAATACCGTTGTCAATGGGCGCACAAGTGCGAGAACCTTTCTTGAAGATTGCAACAAGAATTGACTCCCCCCAGAAAGAGGGGACCCTTTATTCCTCTCAGACCTTCAGAAACAAGGACGTTGGCTGCTCGACGACTGCTGTACCGCCGTATTTGAATAACTTCGGGGGAAGTTTCTCTGAGCCAGCCGCCTTGAAGCGCTTCAAGTGACAGATCTCAAGACCAACTTCCGCTTCGGTTGCTGCTTCGAGTGGCACTAACCATGTCATGCGACTGGGTGTACTGAGTGTAAAGGTGGCTGACGAGTAACAACTGAACAGAGACTGGAAGGGCTCAGCCCATGTGTCCATGCGTCTCTGCAAATTAGTGATTTGTGACCCACCCGTCTCACAGATGACCTGTGTCCAGTGGTCCGAATGGACTGAAACAGCTTACGAGTGTTTCTAGTGAGGGCGGCGGCCTCCATCTCTAAGGCGCGTTGGGACCACAAAAATTCCCAATCGCTACGAAGGCTTGGTTTGAGTTGTCTGCTGATAATACGGTGAAGTTTATTCTGGTCTGGGTTTACTGAGAGAGTTTGGTGGCAGTCCAACAGTGTCAGGGAACACGCCGATACCCAACTTTTCAACGGGTGATGTGACAACCCGCAGACTGATTGACCTGAAGTTAGCATTGCTTGCTGCAAGAACTTCCAGCAATGTGCAATATCAGTGGGCGGAACACAGGCTAGTGTACTTGCCAGTGATAATTGATAGTCTAGTTGAGCCGACTGACCAGCTAGCCTGTTCGTATCAAGCTTACACAGCCTCAGTTTCTGATTTCCTCCGAATCGCATGCAAATGTTGGCGCAGATCAGTGCATGGTCTGAATCGAGGTAGGTAGACCAAAATGATCTACAGTCTTGTCTACTGCCACACCACCTGAAACTGATTGCAATGTGATATATTTGGGACCAAGCCTGCGACGGTGAAGGAGGACGCCAGGTGGCTGAGCATCTCGAGTGCCTGAAGTTTGTGCTTGCGAGAAATAGGCTGTTGTCTTCGCACAAGTTGAGAAGTCTAATTCAGTGCATAATGACCACCCAGGTGATATTGACCTGGTAACAGTCGCCCGACACGTGCGTTGAAGTCTCCGACGAGGACAATGATGTCCGACTCAGCGGCTTTGCGTAATAGTTGATGAAGCTGGTGGTAGAAAGTAAGTTTATAAATAAATGTGTTTCTCGACATTGCGAGACACAGATCGACTACGTGGTCTGATCATATTGTACAACATTATCACATTGTGAAGCAAATTTTCTAAGTGTAACTATCTTTCATCTGAAGTGTTGAGAGTTTGCTATCAATCAAAATAGTGCAAGAAGGAGCTGATAGTAAGAATAATTGTAAGAATCGTCATCAGTCCAAGTAAAGTAATACGTCCTTCCATGGGAGCGTTCCCTAGGGACCTTTTTCAATGCGGGGTAGTCTCTCGAAAGGTTTCATGCGCAATTCCACGTCTCATCTGGCCATGTGCTGTTACGCCATAAAGCAGATAAGCCTCACGATTTTGACTCGTTTAATTCATTTAATTTTTTAGCTGCAACTATATGCAAAAGGCTCTCATCACATTGGCACTTGTTTCTGTGCCACTATTACAGGCAAATAGGCCATCGATAAGTTGACTTTTTTGCTTCTGCCGTGAGCATTTTTGCTCTCCTTAGGTTTACTCAATATATTTTTCGACAGCTGTATATTTCGAAGCTATCCCGACACACGCCGCACTCTCTCATGCAGCTATTTCGAGTCCAGCATTTTTAAAATGCACCAGTGATTATGTGGTAATTTGCTTTGCTTGGGGGTACTAGATAGGTAAGAAGTTTCAGTTTGTCACCTCAGGAGAACAGCCTAGGAGCGGCCAACAATGATAAAGAAGAAAAGCAAACAAAAATAACTGGAACTGAGAAAAAGAACGGTAACGATAAAGGAGCGTTAAATGGTATTTCAATTTAAGATGTACATAGGCATTAGCTTTTTGTTCAGATCATTAGCACAATCGGTTGGCGCGTAAGCAGAAACTGCAAAGCGATTGTGCCTTTCACTACGATGTCTGTTAATCCTGCATGAGTCTTGGAGGCGAACTGCACATACTCGGCTGTTAACTGGGAACCAATCAGGGAGTGCAGCCTCGGCTTTGTTACTGAACGCTACGCCAAAGCCGGTCAAGACAGCGGAAGCAGCTTCTGCGTTACCAGATAAACGTAAGTGGTATGTAGCTTCCTGGTTGGCCGGAGATTTCAATTTGAGCACAGTACTTGGATCCTGTAATCGCATTTCGGAAAGGCGGCAGATATCAATGGCGAATGAACCCGGAGTACGTGCAAGCCCGGCCTGTTGCCCAATTTACATAAGCGGCTGGACATTGAGGATTGCCATCCGGAATCGGGATCGAAGATTAGCCTCAGGCAGGACATCAGGGGCAGCAGTTAAACCAATAGTGGGGTCAAGTTGAGGAAAACAAGGATTATAAACAGAAGAATGATTGCCGTGGGATGAAGCTTGGGAAGCGTAGGAGGCAGGAGCAAAAGAATGCGAAACTGCGATGTAATCCATAGTTTTAGCAGCGGGCGCAATACTACCCGGTTTCCCAGGCCTACGTAGGGTGTTGAATTAGGGGATACCACCCCGAGCCTTTAGCTCAATAGCCTACCCGCAAGGAGAATTCAGGGAAGCGCGCCCATTGGAAACCATTGACCGATTGCTCGGTTAATACGCCTTTCGTTTTGTTAGGTACCAAACAGGGACCCAATCTTCCCCAGGGAAACAGCAGTTGGCAGCTGGAATACACTGCTCCACCGGAGTGAAGCAAGGGGCAATGACTTTATTTAGTGGTGTGTCACATCCGCCACGTCGCAGTCTTGTCAAACAGACATATGTGGCTTTTTATAGAAAGCACGCTTGTCAGACTGAAACCCACCACATCCTTGAACACTGCGGCCGAACTAATCGCTGGAACGTGTAGATCCCGAATCACCCAGTTGACACCACGACCAGGTTGTTCGGCGGGCCAGCCTGTAGATTAAGTCACTATCTTTACTCTTGTTCCTATCTAATACCCTTGTGAGCCCCAGTGTTGTTCTGAGGGAAGGTTCTCATCGATCCACGATTTGATTGTCAATTTGTATTCTTATGATTGATAATAACGTCTCACTCTAATGCGGTTTAAGTAGCACCACGAAATCTTGTTCCATCTCTGCGCTATTAAAGCGATTCACTTACTTTTATAGGGCATAATCGCTGGGATTCTATTAAACATTGTTTGATTTACCTTTGTTATTT